GTGGCTTGGGCAAGGGTGAAATGGTGAAAATGTTAATGTTTTCTTTTTGGAATAATGGAAGTATTTGAAAATAGATAAACAGTAATGATATAGATGAAATAGATAAACAAGTCTGTCTAATGATATAGTAATGAAATAGATAAACAAATCTGTGAATATACTAAGATCTATTAAATAATTCATGTCAGCATGATGTTTTTACAGTGTGCTTGTTAAATGCCAATAAAAAATATATTGTAAAGGGCTGTATTGTTCCACAGAGGTACAGATATTATCATCTCCCAATCAACCAAATAAACTTTAACAGTTGAACAATAAAGACAAAGATCTGCTCTAGCTTGACACTGAATGGCACCTGCAGGCCCATGAGTTAACAAGGCTTTTCCTGAAGGTTGGACTGTGAATTGGCCATATGTAGGCTAATATGAAATTCCTACATCAATGTGGATGTGGTCTCAGAGTGAATTATGGGAACTTGTTTCTTCCTCTTCTTTTTTTTCTTTTTCTTTGCTTCTGGCCATGAGGTGAGTAGTTTGCCTCTCCATTTACTTGTACCCTAACATGTCTCACTAGCAGCTCAAACTCATTGACCAATAGAGCATGCATGGGGACCTCTACAGCACTGGGTCCAAATGACCTACTTATAAAGTAATTGCCGAAAATATTTCATTCTGGTAACAGAAAGCTGACTAATATGCTATCTAAACTAACACATTAAGTAAACAAATTTCACTGAGCATTTATTTTTACAAAGTTGTTGAAATTTAGTTCATAATGAGAACTTGAAAATCCAGACAGTTGGCTTAGTTCTAAGGTCTTTGGTCATCCACTTCATCCTCAATATTACTGTAGGGGGTACTCATAAGCTGAAGAACTAATTAGATCTTCATGCTGAAGAATGAATATACTGGCGTGCTTCACTGTGGTCATTACAGGGCAACTGCAGCAACCCAAGAGTTCCCAAGGTCAATGTCCTGAAGAGGAGGCAGGCCTTGACCGTCAGTGAACCTTAGTATGCAACACTGTGAGAACTTAGTGAAGGGGAAGTACTGAAAGGTCATGAGACAGAAACAAATGGACTTCAGTCACATAAAAAGTGGGTCTACTATTTTGCTCCTCCGGAGGGTTAAGGACAGGAGCATAGGATAATGTGGGAAAGACTGAGTGAGATACTTGCCAGAATGGAATTCTACTTTTTTCCTGGTCTTTTTTTTTTTTTTTTTTTTTTTTTTTTTTTTAAGTCCGTGAATGAAGTTGAATAATGACTTCACTATGTGCTCTAGGCTACTTTTCAATAAGAGAGGAGTGGAACTTTGGTTTCTAAGAAGGTGTTTCATTTGGGGTAATTCTCTGTTTCAAAGATCACAGTATTCATTTCATATTATTGCTTTAACACAGCATCACCACTCTGTGATTTAAAACCACACGAGCGAGCAGTTATTGTAGAGTCCTACAGGGCAGAAGTGTGAAGGGAAGCTGTTAGCAGAGTATCAGCTCTCTGAGCACTCTAGGAGACAATCAAATGGAAACTTTGAAAGCCAGAAGAGCCTGGAACAATGTACTCCAAGTTCCAAAATACCACAGATGTCAACCTGGGCTACTGTACCCAGCAAAACTATCAGCCACGGTTGCGGGAGAAAGAAAAAAAAATTCTATAAACAGGTTAAAAGAATGCATGTTCACCAAATGAGCCCTACCAAGAATTCTGCAAGTAATCCTTGAGAATGAGGTTAGGAGTCACTAGACTCTAGCAAGAAAATGAAGCTATATTTAATGGTGTTTTCAAATAAGAACGGGCATCTTGGAAGTCATGTCAAAGTTAAGCTACATTGGGGGATTCTGAGATATTGGTCTGCAATAATTCATGAGTGCATGTGATGCTGGTAGTGGTGGTGAGATTGGTTCCACATCAAATTTGGATCAAAACCCAAAAAGCAAAAGGAAATCTGAGTTAGCCTTGAAAGTGCAGCTGGTGCTCTCTTTCAGTTGTGGACTGCCCGAGTTGTGCAGCTCACTAACGTCCTGAAGAAATGCATCCGTCACGAGTCTTCTCGCTTTCCTCTCACACTGTCAGCCCACAGGCTAGCCTCTTAAACCGCATTGACTCCTGAACATGGACAGCGTCTGTTATAACATCCATGACCATGGGAAGGAAGTAGAGCAAGTCTGCCACACCCTCCCCTCTCCTGTCAGACATCTTCTTCACAGCACTCTCCTTCCTGCTTTTCCTGGGCCAGAGGCTTCTAGACACTAAGTAAAAGTGGAACATTCCTTTGCATCCTGGATTGTCAGACTTCAGGGACAGAGTCCTGTTTGCATGGTAAGATGGCCTCCTCACCTCAACTGGGCAGCTTCTCCAGGATGAATCAACAGCAGAACACAGATCCACCCACATGGGAAGCCTTTACCCTGGAAGTGGATGCGGAATTTACAAGAGATGGCTTGGTGCAGACGTCCTCTGCAGCACCCATCCTTAGAGCTGCTCTCTCTCACCCTCACCTGCCCAGTGCGATCAACATGGGTCCCTCGGCCATTCCCAGAGACTCCAATTTCACTCACATGTGGAAGTCCCTGACATCTGTGTTTTTGTGAACGTCCAAGGTTATTCTAATTCAAAGGCAAGAAAAAAAGCCTCTGGCTGAGTTGGGGCATCTTATGTGGGTACAGGTTAGGACACGGCTAATAGTTAGAGCTGTTTTCACACTTTTAAATGGAGTGTAGTTGGGAATTTCCGACCTGTTTCAATGCATGCCACTCACTTAAATGGTAATTAAGTGTTGAAAGAGATACGGCAGCCACTGAAATGGGATTTCCTAAGAACCTGAGCTCTGGAGACACTTTGTTTGAATGGATGTTGGTTCTTTCAATTATTAGCCAGGACCTTTTCTAAGCTTCAGCTTAATTGTGTAATGGGCAAAACAATCCTTAATTTATGAGTTGTTAAAAAAATCATATATGAGATTAATGTAAGGCATTAGCATATCATAAGCACACTAAATATTGTGTCCCTTTTAATACAGAAGAGGAATTTTAGGCAAAGCCACAAAATGAGCACCAGCAACAATAATAAACAGGACCAAAACGACTTACCTTTTTGAACATCCTCCCCAATAAAACAGTTGACTAGCAAAATATGGGCAGAGAACTGTCATCTTGTAGCTGGGATCTGGTACCCCTGCAGAATCACAATAGAGTGGGTAATAAATTATTTAGAGACAGCAGCATCTTTCCCATTTAAGACTTGCTTCGAAAGGGTTGTGACCCATAACTGATCAGGTCATCATCCCTCCTGTTACTCTTTTTTAGCTATGTAGTGAAGAGTTGGAAGTTAAATTTACAAGAACCAGTTAGAGAATACTAGGGTACACTTCATTCAACAATAATCTTTGTATGCCTTAAAGAGGGTAGTAAGTACACGATTTTGAACGAGATATTACTATGTTTCACTAGGTAGTTGAACTTGAGTATAATTCTGAAACTATGCTTTCCATACAATATCCCTGGCCACATGTAGCTACTTATATTTTTAAAAAAAATAAAAAGAGAGATAAAAATCAGTTAGGAAATACAGTTAATGGTTGTATCGGACAAATACCAAGTGACCCCTCACATGGAGCCACTAGCGAGCATGTTGAACACCATACGGGTGCAGATACTAACCTACATCACCATAGATGATCTGTTAGGCAGTGCAATGCTAGAGGACCTATTTATATTTTGATTTTTCTGTTATACCTAAAATCATGAGTTGTGGTCGCTCTACTAACTGTATAGGTTGCATGTCTTGAGAAGTGGACACAGAGCGGCATAGTATGGAAAATCAGTGGAGAGGAAGCATACAGACAAAATGAGAAAATAGAGTTGTTTTGTCTGAACTGACAGTGGGTAATTGGTAGTTTAAGCAAGAATAAATCTTCCCTTAGGTAGTAAGCAAGGAGCACCCCAGCTAAAGAGTTCATTCTGCTTATTTCTGGAAGGCTGGGAATGGCGCATTGTCTGATACACAGCTCTGGCAACCAAGGCATCCACTGGGCTCCCAGTAGGTTCCTGCTGGCAGTTGTCACCATGGCAACACTCAAGCTGAGGCCAGAGACCTGAAGGCAGCTGCTCCCATGCCACTGCCCCAGTGCCTCCCATCTATCCTGAGTAGCCCTAACAATCTCATCAGTCAATCACTGTGAAATCTCCCATGAGCTCAATTTAAGCTCAATTTATTTCAGTAAAATGTAAGACCTGGAAAGAAGTTCAGACATGAAAACTAACCAGCAAATAAATTGTTAGGCCTCTTTCCGTTAAAAAAAAAAAAATCAAAACATAAATTGCACCGGATCCTGTCAGTGTCTTTGATTCCTGTGGGACTGGCTGGTACTGCCCCTGGTCATCTCCGTCCTCTTCCCAAGCACGTGCTATGGCAAGATTACCTATTGCCTTGGCTCTCCATGAAAGATTAAAGTGTATTCATAGGAAATCGCTTGGAATAATAGAAATTGAAACCCAGTTCTGTGTCCGTGTGACTGGCTTTGCACATTGCCGTGTTTGAGTGGAAGAGACACATGTCACTCCCAACTAGAAACCTTGAGGGAACCATTCATGAATGTCCTGCTCTCCTAATGTCCAGGGGGGCAAAACCTCTGTGAACTCCAGTATCTGAGAGGAACCAGACCAAGTACCAGGCTCTGCCCATTCAGGGCAGGCCTGAAGGCAGATCAGATCTGGTGCCATGGAGGCTTTGGGGACTCCTTGTTTCCACAACATAACCTAGAGTCCTGTGACTAAAAATATAAAAGTAAAACAGTGCACAAAAATGAAAAACCTGAAACTAACTATTTTAAGGTAAATTGTTCAAGAGTATTGACCTAGTGCAGAATCTCCTGAAATTAGAAAAGAAATCTCATGATGATGGAAACATTTTTCATGCCAATATTATTTATTTTGCACAGTAAGATGTCTTAGTATTGATTTATATTAAAAGAAAGCCTTGTTCTGATACTAGTAACTCACTCGGTCTCCAAAGAATTCTTGATAACAAAATAGCACAAAATATCGGATATTGCCAGCATGATAATATGAAATTTATGGAGAGAAATATCTCAGGTTTTATTTTTAGTTATGACAACATGTGTAAGTCTGTTGGGGAAAAATGAGTGAGATACACCTCATGGGTTATTTAATATTTTAATGACCTTCAGAACAATGTGGAAGCAAAACACCCAATTTTTATTTTAGATACAATGGTTTGATTTTCTCAGTTCATCTGTGTTTCAATATAGTAGATTTTCAATGACTTGTGATCATTACAAAATGTCAAGCACACTTTGAGAGCATTGGCATTTGTCATAATTAAAGCACTATTTCAAACAATAAATCAATAGCCACAGAAAAAGAAAGTGGTTATTTATTTTGTTTTTTTTTTTTGAGACAGGGTTGAAAGTGGTTAAACAATGTCAACTTTCTTATTACAGTCTCCTTTGAGAGAGGAGAGGAGGAGAGGGGAGGAGAGAGAAGGGGAGGGGAGGAGAGAGAGAGAAAGAGAGAGAGGATTATTTGAGAAAGTCAGTTCTGTGGTGTATATGTGTCTCATTCAACCACCTAAAATGGTTTTGAAAATATGTGTGATATAACATTAAAAAGTTTAAAGCAGTCATTTTATAACCATAAAACCTAGCATTTGACTCTTTACACATACAAATCAAAGAAAAAAACTGATGGATTTTATAAAAGTCACAGCTGTCATTTTCTTTCACTATTCAGAAAATAATAAAATCCCTTCTAGTAACTTATTATTATTATTTCATTTCATTTTTTTAAACACAGAAACTTAGAAACAGGACCAATGCCTGAGTAAACACCTTCCATTTCCATTCAGGATATGGAACTCGGGTGTTCTGCCTGTTGGCCAGTAAGGGGCGCCATCACAAAGTGATTACAGAGACCTGACGTTTGGGAGGCTTTTCTAATGTCCGTCTCCTTCAGTGGGTTTTCTAGGCCATTGCTGACCGCGTTGTACCCTCCAGGCTCCCATCACAGCCACCGTAGGAAAAGCTGCCGCGGAGCTCAAGGCTGAGCTTTTAGATTTCTTCTTTCCCAGTGCCGCATGCTGGTAAGCAAAAGCTTCTACTCCCTAGGACGCTGGCCAAAGGCTCGGCTGCCAGTGCCGCGGCTGTTCTAATTGTCTGCTCCTGCTCAGGTTTCTTTATTAACTACCCTCCCTCCTCCAATATTAAATGTAAATTACATGTTTCTTTCAAGTCCGCCTACCCAGTCCTTTCAGGAACAGCCATTTGTTCCCGTGCACCTGGAAGTAATTCTCACTTTGGTGTGTGTGTGTGTGTGTGTGTGTGTGTGTGTGTGTGTGTGTGTGTGTGTGTTTTCCACTGAACTGACCTGCCCATTCACCTCCCCCGACTTCCATAGATGTTGTTTGGTCTCTTTCTGCAGAACTGAGCTGACATGTCTTAGAGATGGCCAAAAATGAAATGATTCAAGCAACTGAGCTTCTCAGAGATGCCATTGTTCCCTGCATTGTTTCAGCTACCTAGAAAGCTGCAGCAAAGCATTCGAGTGTGGCAACTAGCCACACATGGTTGTTTCAAGAAACGTCGATAATGGATATTACAAACATGTTTTGGTGGCCAAACACGGACTTCCAAGGATAGGTCTCCCCTAGCAAAGCGAAGCAATTATCTCAATCAGTCAAGTGAAAAGGTCCATTTATGCTTCAATTCTCTGGCTAATTCAAGCAAAAGTAAAATTTTCATCTGAATGATCTCAGTAATTGGCTTACTGCTTTGCTTTCTCGGAGAGAACTTAACAAAGAAACAAGCTGTTCCACACTAGCAGGGTAGTGGTGACCCTGGGACGGGTGCGCAGAATAGCGCGAGAGTGCAGACTTCGTATGGAAATTTCAACAGACTGCACCTCGTTGAGGAGGATGATTAGTGGGGCTTTTAAATTCATCCTTTCTCGCCGCCCTTTCCCCAGCCACCAGTCACTCCTCCCTTAATGTTTCCAGTCCGCAGCAAGCATACCACTGGGGACAAATAGGGCAAATGAGGAAACCCATCTGTCATCCTTGACTCCTTCCTTCCGCTGAACCTTTTTGACTTATCTTTGGAGCACGTTGGTCCCACGACATTCCCACAACCATTGTTCAAACAACCGGCGGTGCTTTGCGGTGCTTTCACTCACTTGACTTGAATTGAGGGCATCCCGAGGCAGGTGCAAAGCGGGGTCCTGCAAACAGAGGTGAGCCAGATGACAGACTCGGCTATTCCCAGTTGCTTCCTGTCTTATATCCGCCCTCTAAACCACTTTCCAGCTTCCTGCAGCTTCGCGCCCTTAAAATGCCGAGCTGCTCACTGCTTTGCTGTACAATAGCAAAGCCCTAAGCATGGCTCAGAAGGACTTGGGTGAGCGGGCACTGGCTTCATATTCAGTCTCTTTTCTTGCCACTCTCTTAGGGTCTTATATCTAATTAATTTGATATTTCCAGTGTTGCCTGTAATGGCTGCTTTGATCAGAAATGCCCCGTCTGCCTTTACCCAACCTTATATCTGCATTGCTTTATTTGTTTTTAATTATTAATTACTGTCCATGACGTTACAGCGGCCTCTGTCTCCCACGACTTTCATCCTTTAATTCCAGAGAATATTTTCATGGCCCCTTAAGTAACTATTATCTAATACTAAAATCAGTTCTTTTAACTAGTCCTCTTTTACTGTGGCCTTCGGTTCCTTTACTGTTTTTACCACTCTCTTCAGAAAGGATTCTAGTAAGGGAATACCTCTTAAATATACCAATCAGAATTCAACTCCCTGTTCCATGTGGGTCTTAGTACCATGAAGGGCCAACCTCACATCAGTAAATACACAGTCAGTTTTTCAAACCCAAGTTCAAGGCTCTACTTGTCTCTTCTCTCTTACACAGGATTTTTCTAGGTTAAAAAAAAAATCACATCTTTATTCTTTCTTCTGAGTGACAAACAGGCTGTATCACGCAGAAATATGCTGGGACTATTCCTTCCAAGACTGACTTGTTATCCCTCAGAAATGGTCTCAGCTGTAGGGAAATGTCCTGCTCCCTTTCTTTGGCTACCCACATGCAGTGACCTATCAGGGCAGGGCTCTGGGATGCTGTAGCTTTCACTCACTGAAGAACAACTCTCATGTGCACTAGACATTTTAGGGGATTCAGCTAGACATCCGTGAGTCCTGGGTCATGGTGCATCTTTTCCACCTCTCCAATTTGTGTCACAACAGCAACGAAGGCTGCTGCTGTTAGGGGAACTCTTTCCTTCTGGTCAAGAGAAGGAAATCTCTGGCCTAGGTAGAGGCAGAGCATTCCAGTTGACAGGTCAATCACCTGGACACGGAACCAGCCCTCAGGAAGGCAGGCTCATCTTAAGCCATGGTAGAGGTGGGAGTGACTATCACTTCTCTAATGAGATCAATTCCTTTTGCTTCCCAGATTCCTACCCATTGCTAGAGCCCCGACAACCACCACGATGTTCTGTTGGGTCCGCAGTCACTTTTCCTTTTTCTTTACTGTCTCACGTGCGGATCACAGCGCAGCCTAAGCGTGCTTTCTCTGGCACTTTGGCATCCTTCCTCCTTTCCTGAAGCTCCACTCTCTGCTGTGTGCTTGCTTGTCCCCCGTGTGGTTGACCTTTATGCTGGCTGAATTCACATGACATGTTTTGTTTTTGGGTTTTTTTTTCCCCTTCTCTTCTCTTTCTCCTTCCCCAGGTAGCTGCCAAGAATAGCAGCTTGCCTGCCCTTGGTTTTTTCTTTCAAACTCTAATAAAATTGTTCTTGAACTTCTGTTTGAGTCTGTTCTTCAATTCTTCTCGTAATGAGACTAAGAACTCCAAGAGCGGACCCGATGTCCCTAAGTACCCTTTGTACGGGTGCTGAAATCAAAGAATTGTCTTGCATGTCAAACTCCACTTCTGAGTCTCCAGGCATTGCCATAGGACATTTACTGCCAGAAATGGTTCTTTTTAAAAATTTATTATTATTATTATTTTTTAATTTTTTTGGTTTTTCGAGACAGGGTGTCTCTGTATAGCTTTGCGCCTTTCCTGGAGCTCACTCTGTAGCCCAGGCTGGCCTTGAACTCATAGAGATCCACCTGGCTCTGCCTCCCGAGTGCTGGGATTAAAGGCGTGCACCACCACCACCCAGCTTAACAAATCTTTTATATATATATATGTGCATTATGCATTGGTGTTTGACCTGTATGTCTTTGTGAGGGAGTCAGATCCACTGGAACTTGAATTACAGACAGTTGTGAGCTGCCATGTGGGTGCTGGGAATTGAACCTGGGTCCTCTGGAAGAGCAACCAGTGCTCTTAACCGCTGAGCCATCTCTCCAGCCCACTCCCACCCCCCAGAAATGGTCCTTAAACACAGTTGGCAAGGCAGCTTTTGCAGCTGCATCATTCGCTCCTTGGCTAGAAATGGGGGGCCTCACTGCAATGGTATGTGAAGTACTGACACTCCAAATCAGGATGACAGGAGCCTCAATAGAGGACAGGTGGTGTCACTTAACTGCTAAAGCTGGGTGGATGCAATCATGGTCATGAATCAGAGTGGCCACAAAGGGGCACAGAGCATGTTTAAGGTAGTTAACAGAATCAGGCATCTCTAGGGACTGTGTCAACATGCAAACATATCGTACACGTTTGGTTGTGTGTGTGTGTGTGTGTGTGTGTGTGTGTGTGTGTGTGTGTGTGTGTGTGTTTGTGTATGTGTAGAAAGATCTACCAGTGGGGGTGAGGGCGACTTAGAGTTATGAGGGGGAAACATGAGCAGAGCACAATAATTATTAACGTATGAAAATATCTTAATGAAATTCATTATTTTGTACATTAATTTAAAAAAGGATATTTCTCAGCTAAACCAAACATAAGAAATTAGAACAAATAACCAAGAGCTATTTATTAGCCCAGGTAACTACCCCAATAAGGTACTGTAAACTTCTCCACCTTACCAGATATGAGTAAGCTTTCATACCCAGAACTCACTGACCAAAAGAAAGGCCAGCTCCCTAGGAGCAAAGACCATCTTACATCAAACAAACACGTGGACGTTGTGATGATTACTTCAGTCCTTTCTGAAAGGAACCCACAAATCTTTGCTTGGTTGACATTGAGAGAGAAAAAAGAGGAACACTCAAATACTTAAAAAGCTGACACTGGACCAATGTTGGCACTGACTGAAGAACTTGAGTCTCCACTGTGGTCTTTCCACTGATAATGGGACACATGAAAACCAGGTAATGAACTGAGTCTTGGTCAAGGTCTGGTTTACAGGAAGTCTGCCAGGTCTTCAGACCTCTACAGTGGACATTTCCTTGGCTACATATTTGAGGTTCATATATTTTATATCTCCGCAGTCCCACACTGGACATTTTGTGTATGAGATAAAGATCATGATGGAGGTGAAGGACAAGTGGAAGCCTGGAACTGTTCCTATCCATCCCTACTCCCAGTTCAGTTTGTAGGGATGACTCAAGCTTGCATCCTAAAGGAACTGAGGGGAAAAAGAGTCTCCTGAAGGATGTAAAAGTTATAGAAATAACCATCCCCATCAAGTCCCCTTAACATTTTGTAGAAAACATACAAAAGAGAATGGAATGATTATGATTTTGCTTTTCTTCTTCTTACCACCCTCCCTGATCTGTTAAGACAAGCTCTCACTGTATAGCCAAGGCTGGACTTGAACTTGTGTCTGCGGAGTGCTGGGGTTACATGCACTGCTATATCTAGAAGATTGGGAATAGTGTGTTGTATATTCAGTCAAGTGACAGTCTTATTTGCTAGTGCTGTGCCATATGGAGTGTATTTGCTAGAACAAGCTAAACAACTTCAGGTATGTGAATAGGCCACTTTTTAGGCAAACTATTCTTTTCTGTTCCAATTAGGACAAGAGGATCTGAAATTGGCTGCATGTCTGTGCAATGAGTAACATCTATTTAGTTTTGTACTCCTATACAAAATGGTCCGAAGAGATCTAAATTCTCTGGATAGTCTACAGATTCCCATCCTTAATAGTATTATGCTAACTGGATCAGATCAACAATAAGTTGTCAATATGATAGTGGTTGTAGTGAAAACACATGCAGTATGGAAGACAGGAGATGAAGTCTTCTATCCTGGACTGTCACACCAGTATGATCTTTGGGGTTCCTGTGGTGTGGGAGGACCAGACCAGAATTCCCACCCTTCAGAGGAAGCACAGGGCTAGGCAAGCTTCTTTAAGTTTTCTATCCAACAGGTCACATCCAGGAACATTGCTGTGACCAGCCAGTGTGAAGGGTGACAGCTTCATGTAGAAGAGAAAGTAGGAAAGGTCCCTTGCTGGTATCGAGTACATCATAGCCAGCCCTGCAGTTGGGACCACTGCCTGCTGCATTCTGTATACTGGTGATGGGACAGGGTGTTGTGTGCAAGTACTGCAGTTGGGAGGACCATGCCAAAAGACCTGAGCTTAAGGCAGTGCTATTTGTAGCGGCAAGATTGTGATGGCCAATCTTGATTGCCAGTTTATGGGATTTAGAATAGTCATGGAGACGGTTGATTTCTCTTGGCATGTCTGTGAGGGAGTTCCTCGATTTGGTTAACTGCGGAGGGGAACACCCATCTTAAATTTGAACATAGAACACTGTACTGTGGTCTGGGGTTCCAGGTTGAATAAAATTAGGTAGGGGAGAAGCTAAGCATTCGTCTTTCCTGCTTCCTGACTTCAGGTACAATGTGACCAGCTGTCTCATGCTCCCCACACCATGCTTCTCCACCATGATGGATTATATTCTGTTTTTAAGTTGAAGCAAATCCTTCTTTCCATAATTTGTTTTTGCCCAATGCTTTTGTCACAACAGTGGGGAAAGTAACTTATACAAGTAACATATTTATCTTTTGGAAAACAGCCCCCAATAAGTTACCAGGGCCTCGAGGTGACTAAATGTGTGACTGCGCCTCTGGGACCATGAATTATGACAGAGTCGAAAGAAAGCACAGAGCTGGCTAGATGGTTCAGCAGGTAAAGGCACCTGCCACCAAGCCCAACAACCCATGATCAATCCCTGGGATTCGCATAGCGGAAGGAGAGAACTGTCTTCCTCACATTGTCCTCTGACCTCCACCCCAGTGATGGCATGTATCCATCCACACATACATACACCTCCATGCAATAAGCAAACAAATAAATACATAGCTTCATTACAAAAACAAAATGCAGAACTGACAGCCCTCCATCAGCAGGCGCATTCTAGAAGCCGAACACAAGGCTCCAGCATGAACTAGGCTGTAAGGCACAAGGATATTCAGTCAGGAGGTTTATGTTCTGTGCGTTCACCACTTTGTGCCAGCCCCTCTTCCTCAGCATGTGCCTCATTCCATACAGAGAATCTTGATTGGCCAATTGGTGGAGGACAAAAAACATTTGGCTGTGGCTCACAGATAGGTTGGCTCACAAAGTGCTCTTATACAAGCCTCCTTCCCCCAACCCACCACACCACAAAAAAAAAAAAAAAAAAAAAAAAAAAAAAAAAAAAAAAATGCATGGAAGTTCCATTCTAGCCTTCTCCAGGAATTGTTTTGAAAAACAATGACCGGGAAAACTGCTAGCACACAGCTTTGGTGGTGCGCTTGAACATTCTGTTTGTGTGGTGGAAGAATTGGTTCTTCCGTGTATGAACTTGGGCTGAGGTGGTCAAACCTGGCTGACCAGGCAGAGACCCAGAAGGAAAGATACTAGAAGAAGACCAGGGCAAGGATGTCTTTCACCTAGTGTGTGCCTGGCACGAGCGAGTGTCCATAGAGTAAATACATTTGCATCATACGTCAACTCCTACAAACTGCACACTCTGTAGTAGATGAATCACACCCTGGGTCTATGATATCCAACAGAGCATCTACTAGCCACATGTGATGACTCCACACTGAAACATATCCAAGTATCAAATACACACTGGATTCCAAATAGTAACACATGGGTAAAACCTTCCTAGTCATTGTATGTTGATCATACATTGAAAATACCCATTAGTTTAGATAAAATGTTATCAGCGTTGATTTCCTTTTTTAAATGTACCTATGAGAAAATTTACAATGGCATACATCTCGTCCCTGGAGCTCCTATTACGTCTGTTTTGAATAGCACTGATATGGGCTGATGATCTTGGCTAGCTGACAGCAGCTGGCCCTGATTTTGGATTTCCCCAGCGTTGCTATAGCAGCCTCAGGGATTGGGTGTCAGGGAGATATAAAGACACTGCCTGGCCTGTGAGTATGACCTACCTCTCACCAGAGAGGATAAAACCCCAGATGCTGCCAACTGTACAGATTTCCAGACACAGAGGTCGATCCTGAGCCCTGGGGATGCTATTGTTTTTCTGAGGTCTAATGACATACTCAGTGGCCAGTGGATTACACTGGCCCTTTATATCCTAGAAGGATCAGAAATATTTGGGGTTTATTTCTAAATAATAGAAGAATATTCTAAGCATGAATTTGTCTTTCCTACCTGTAGGGACTCAGATGCTTGCTCTGTATCTGATCTTCTGATATGGGAGCCCACAGAGTCTCACATCAGAATAGAACTAACTCACAGAAAAGCAGGTGTGAACAGAACATATTGCCGTGAGAGCCATCAGTCATACGACAGGCTTCAAAGCTATTGAACTATAGCTCGTAGACAGGCCTATTGACAGTACAGTTGAGGTGCAAATTTGGTGGCAACACTCTGCAAGAATGAAGTACTATTTATTCTCCAGGTGCAGTTTGTGTATTGGGTAAAGAACCTTTGTAAGGTAATGCAGGCAGCCTTTCATATCTGCTCAGTTACATTCATGTATCCAACCAACTATGGATGGAAAATATTGGACAAAAAAGACACCTGTAACCCAAATATAGATACTTTTGGTCACTGTTTCATAAGCAATATAGCATGCTACGATTTATGCAATATTTACATTGTGTTAGGCAGTAGAAGTAATCTGGGGATGCTGTGTGATATATGGGGACATGCACGTAGGTTGTATGCAGTACCACACTTCCATTACATGTGAGACACTTGAGTGTCATATTGGTTTTACATACATGGGGATCTTAGAAGAGATCCCCCACAGATGCTGTGAGGCAGCCATGCATCGTATGAAGAACTATGTGCAGAAGCAAATTGAAAGACTGCTTTCCTTAACAGAACTCTCTGAAAACAAGTGTAATTCCTCTACCACGACTTTGCAAGCTCCACAAGGCTAATGAGCCCAGTTCTTAAAGGGGATGCACTTTAACCAGGAACCAAATGGTTTATGGAAGGCTGCATCTAGGCACTTTTAGATAAGATAGACAGTTACTACTTTGGTGGAGGTACTTGACCTTGATCATAAGAAAGAGGTGTGTCTGCTGTTACACATGGGAGCAGGAAAGCAGTTCACATAGATGCCTCTTGGGCATAGATGATGTCACCAGGTAGGCCATCATTAGGGCTGCAAGAGGTGCTAGCTGAAGACACGAGCGTGGGAACTAACAATGAAACAAAGATGTGCATGAGTACCAGTTGTGGTTCCAGAAAAAGCCACAGAAGTAAGGGCTGTAGTTTATGCTTACTCTGCTCTTCTGAGTGTCCCCCAGGAAGAGAGACTTGAAGAATCCTGGGGGTGTCTTTCCTTGAAATTTAAGATCTGGGGAAGAGATGGGAAGACACAAAGCTGGGGTACAGACTAAGGCACCCCTGCAAGGATAGCCCTGTCCTAGCTTCAGAGATTGCTGTCCACAAACTCCTCAGCTTTCTGCTTGTCACAGGCTTGTCCTCCACAGCAGAGTGCCATGTCACCAAAGATCACTTTCTTTCTGTAGTGTGACATTCAGTGAATGGTTGTGAGGTGACTTGAGAGGCCTAGCCATTTCAGGTTACCAAGGATGACTCCAAGAAGTAATTTTGCCCCTAATGCCCTACACACGCACACACGCACGCACATGGTTGTCACCTGGCTAGAATTTGTTGGGCTCACATGGAAAGCTGATTTCTCCCTTTTTCTGAGGGGCTTCCTCCCCTTGATGCTCTTTCCCCCCCTCTCCTCTTGCTTCCACCTTGTTTGAGACAGGCGGGGTCTTTTTCTTTCCGCTGCTGAACCCACCAGGGTAACTGGCTAACTGGTCTATAGGCTTCGGGGGGTTGCCTTGGCTCTGCCTTCCATCTCATTGTAGGAGCACTGAGATTGCAGATGTATGCTCCTGAACCTGGCTTCATATGACTTTTGGGGATCACATTCAGCTTATCACGCTTGTGGGGCAATATTTTAGCCACTGAGTCAACATGCCAGCTGTAATGACCTGTTCCTAACAGAGTCTGCTGCCTTGCACCAAAGAGACATACACAGAAGAAAAAGAAAAATCTTTCTTCCTGAAGTTTAACTCTCTCTCTCTCTCTCTCTCTCTCTCTCTCTCTCTCTCTCTCTCTCTCTCTCTCTCTTTCTCTCTCTCTCTCTCTGTGTGTGTGTGTGTTCACACCCTTTGGATCTGAGAGACTCTGGAGGATGGAATAAGTTTATAAACAAGTTCCATGAGACCAAAGGGTTTCTAATAAATGTATGTTTGTGGCACAGCAGAGCTTCTCATCAGTTCTGAGGAGAATCAGAATGGTCACATGAGAAAGGGGACACTAGAGTCTTCTGTTGAAAACTAAGTTGCCAGGCGGTGGTTGTGCACACCTTTAATCCCAGGACTCAGGAGGCAGAGCCAGGCAGATCTCCGTGAGTTCGAGACCAGCCTGGTCCACAGAGCGAGATCCAGAACAGGCACCAAAACAACACAGAGAAACCCTGTCTCGAAAAAACAAAACAAGCCGGGCGGTGGTGGCGCACGCCTTTAATCCCAGCACTCGGGAGGCAGAGCCAGGCGGATCTCTGTGAGTTCGAGGTCAGCCTGGGCTACCAAGTGAGTTCCAGGAAAAGGTGCAAAGCTACACAGAGAAACCCTGTCTCGAAAAACCAAAACAAAAAACAAAAAAAGAAAAAGAAAAGAAAACCAAGTCAATGGTCATTTGAATTGTGCTGCTGTAAGGAGTGTGGGAGTGACATTCTGAACACCAAGGGATTGATCAGAAACAGGGGAAGCTGGGTTGCATGTGACATCTAAGTAATTCGTGGGTCAGGGGGTACTAGAGAGGCAAAAAGAATCTAATGAAGAGAAAAAGGTTAGGAAAAGTTGCTTGTATCTGGGTCTCAGGACACTTTGTAAGGCATTCCAAAGAAGATAGATTTCATTTTATTGTCAGTAAGGATGGAAGCTATTTAAATAACATGATCAAACCAGAGTTAGAGTACTATCAAGTAACTTCATATCTTTTAACTCTCAAGACTATAGCTCTAGTCTCCAGATGGAAGAAACCAGATTGAAGGCAATGCCCTGCATTTGATAGGAGTTTAAGAATGTGGTCTTGCTTTGTTCTAATCCTAATAAAATTGCATTGACTATCTTGAGGTATCATCTCTAAGTCGATACGCACATATGAGAACCTTTGTGTGCGCATGTTTTCAACATCATATCACACCATGTTGGCTTTAAGCAAAGCAAAAAATAAGAATAAAAAAAAACCCTATACAGACGAATTAAAAGACACTTAGTTACAAGACAGTGCGTTTGTTTTTGTAAAAACATCCTCTGAAATTTCATTTACATTGCGTTGCCTTTGGTCTTCATGTTTATTCACACATCATTACTTGATGAATGGGTTGAGAAGCTGAGGAGGAAAAGTGTGGTAAGCATCTACATTCTGGGATCAATCATAATAAAGTTAACACATCTCTGAAAATGATAACGTAATGAGCCGTTTTGTAGAAACTGCCTTCTCATACAGCTTCTTAAGAATGTGATCTGTGACACTGGAGGGAGTGTGTGTGCGTGTGCGTTTGTGCGTGTGTCAGAAGACAACCTTCGTTGCCATTCTTTAGGAGCTTTTCACTTATTTATTTTTACTCATTTTTTAATGAAAAGATTTCTCACTGGCCTAAAACCAATTATGTTAGGCAGGCTGACAGTGACCCCAGAGATCCACCTCTCTCTGCTTTTGCAGGGCTGAAATTACCGGTGTGTAGACTGCTCCTGGCTCCTTTATATGGGTTCTAGGGGATCAAACTAGGTTCTTTCGCTAGTAGGACATCCATCAACGCTATCTACCCAGGGCCCAGGGCAGGTGTTCTGGACGGCCTATGAGTGTGAAGGAGGCAGAAGGCAAGGATGCTCAGGACATAAGAACAACAGCTTTGCACAAACAACAATAAAAACCCAACAGAGGTTACAACTTAGAAACCAGTTTTACTCTGTTGCAAACAAATGGACAAGCTATTGTACAATATAATAAAAAGTACAGCACAATACAAGTGCCACTAATGAAAGAAACTTAAAGATCAGACTTAAAAATGCTTATTTGTAATATATATGTGTGTATGTGTGTGTGCACACACACACATACACACACTGCAACAAAAAGCCACAATAAATACAGGAATTTCCATGTCATTCATAATAAATACTGAAAATATAAATACAGAAGACTACAGCTAATATGAATAAATTATTACAACATAAGGTCCAGGTTAAATTCTATTGAATATCCTTGTAGCTTATTTTCTATCCCCTTTGGCATCTTTGATGTCATAACTTGTACACAAGAAAAAAATCAGTCTAGAAACTGCGACATACAACATGACATCATACTGTAAAATGACTGCATGAATTGTAGTTTGATTTTCTTCCCTTTCAACCTTACAAGTCATTAGAATGCACAGAACAGTGATGAAGTATCTATTGAGGATCTATTGGGTAAAAGTAACGATACAAATCAGTTGACAGATAAACTTCAATCAATCAATGTTAAAATGTACTTTATAGTACTGTGGTGGCTTTTCTGAATTTTTAGTAATGCATTTTCCACCTGCCAGCTTCCAACAGACCCCAAACCAAACACTCGGAACAAATACCCTCAATAGACGGCCTTCGTTTAGGAACCAATCCTAATGCATGGGTGGTTTACACAGACAGAAGGGTACATGAGTCCTCGGGATCACGTGACCTACCAACACATTCAGTTCGCTACATCTTACCAGAGTTTCCAAATGTACCAAGCTCCATGGCAGCTTGCAAGTGGAAACATGGTTGCTGTCTAAGACTGTGGTCAGGACAAAGACACTGCAAAGGACGACAACCAATTGTAAACATGGATGTTTGATGAGGAAACTGTTTTGTTGACCAATGCCAAATGACCTTCCCTATCAAACTCATATACCCGGTGACACTAAGGGAAACACATTGAAATAACAAAGTGCCTTTTTTGCAATAACAGGCATTAATCAGTACATAGTTATTAATACTTCTATCCTTAAGAGGCAGTTACACCAAAATTCGATAAACTGAAGAGAAAACAGAGAGACATTACTAACACACAACAAAGGCTGAGTTCTTAGGAACAGAGGTGTAATCTACAGGTTCAGGTTTTTCTTTGACTATTTCTGTACTGTAATTGTCTAGCATTTATTATACATCATCAAACACTTTTGAAACATGTTTCACAAACTACGCCTCAGACTTCTTTCTGTTGAGGTGCCTAGCATCAATTAAAACATAGGCCAAATTTTATTCACCATTCATTACATTAGCATTCTACAGAAACTTCTTTTTTTTTTCTTTTTTTTTTTTTTTTTTAGACTAAGAGTGTCACTGGGTCACTTCGCCACAGTGTTACTCATGGGGACCAAGTACACTGATGTGGCTGTCATTTCACACAGGTGCTCAGGTGGGGAAAAGCGGCCCCTATTGAGATTGGCAAAGACCCACGGAGGAAGGAAACCCTGACGTCCAGGGTGGTCCTCAGCTTCCAGTTGGTGCTCTCTCTGAGTTGCAGGCAAACAGAAAAGGCTCTGAAAGCTGTAGGGAGTATCTGGGGCAAGTGATGTCATCATCAGGGAAAAGAAAAAAACAAAAAAAAAGAAACAAAAACAAACGTCACCCTTTCCCAGAACACCCCTTTTAGTTTACAGGCCTTTTCAAGATGACATTTTTTTAAATCTCTTTCCTGATTCCTGAGAATGCAAGCAGCCATTGTTTACATAATATCCTCATATACACAGGCTGGGATCAAATGGCGGCTGAGTGATTCTTTGGAGTCATTTTATTCCAGATCAGATTCTTCACAGACAGTCACATCTCCAGAAGGAGAAGAAAAAGTCTAGATTCTCATTTGTTACATATGCTAAGGGAAGATTAACAAGAAGGTACTTGTTCACAAGCAAGCACATAGAAAAATGTCCCTTTTTTCATTCTAAAATTGTAACTTTTCAGAGAATTGAACAGTATAAAAGTCAAATCACTTGACTCTAGTTCTGATGTTTGCGACTGGGATCTAAACCAATTACGCTCACGGACATGATGGTAATTTTTAAAAAGCAAATAAAAATGAACAAAAGCTGCCTGGTACCTTGTTTTCCAAAAGCAGGCTACATCACTAAGTATCCAAGTACCTTCATTCTCTTTTAAAGTTTGATTTCTTAAGACATTTGGAGAATTGCCGTATGGAATAATCATCAAATGAAGGAGAACTCAACTTCTACAGCCTTTTAGTACAATTGCCCCAATGACCACAACTGTTGGCAGGTACATCATCCACAAAGACTGGCTAAGATATATTCTTATGAGAAAACCTCAAAGAGCTGGACTGTGTTGCCAAGGAAGCCAACTTCCCTAGAGATGTCAAGAAGAAATGGGTATCTATACTCTTGGATATGCCTGAGTGGCCATCTTCCCCAGAGGTCCTCTGGAGAGCTCTCTTAGGCTCAGGCCTATACAACCTGAAGAATACAGAAGAATCTCAAATCTCCCATTACTTATGCTTAGTTGTCCCTCTGTGAATTATCTTTAAGATTAGGCTGTCCTAAATTACCTGTTGGGCATGACTGGACTAATAAATCAGGGTTCAGATGGTATACCCTGGCAGTAGACTGTGATTAATTGTGGTTAAAAAACAAAAAAACAAGATGACTTTTGTAGCTATTAAAATTTAAAAATCTATCAAGTCCAGATATCATGTGGGTACCATTCCATTACTCAAGTATAAACACTATTTTTTTTTAAAGACAACAATTTTTTCCCTAGATTTAGCTATTTTTTTCCTCTTTAGGGGAATTCAGATTTAAATTTGAGGACTTTCTTTTCTTCATATTTAAATAAACTTTCATAATTTATATAGTTCTTTGAATTTGTTTTAATACTGATGTCATTTCTAAGAAAAGGGAGGAAAAACGGCAGCCAGCATGAAAAAGAGGACAAAGCAATACTGGATAAAATGTGCTACAAATTCCCTCTTGATATTTCTTCAACACAAAGATAGCAAACTACCTTAGGGGCACATGACCCAGACTAGAGGGTGAGGAGTCTCATTTGTGTGCGGTAAGACTCAGTACAGATAGAATTTTCTAGGTAATTTTTAAAGAGACACCTTATCATTCAGTTTTCTTCCAGGTCCTCATTAATAAATAACTTTTAGGCTCATTCCAAGCCAGACCAAAAAAAAAAATGAAATAGAGTTAAAAAGAAATAAGACATTTAACTATGGTGCTATTTTAATGCTACAACTAAAAATCAATACAGTCATGTAAATCAGTTTTGACAAAAGGCTGATTTCTACCCAATTTATCTCCTTATAGCCCTTTCTAATCAATATCCTTAAAAATACTTAGACGACCTTGCACATGTGACAAAAACCATAATTTGAACTGCCTTTACTATCAGTGTGCTAATGAGATAGTCTGAGGAATTCCAGCAAGCCTGTTGAGTACAAATGCTGTTTTAAATTACATCGATCATCCTCCTTCACAAGCTTGGTCCCGCCAGCTTCTGTGAAAGATGAAATAAAATGACAATAGAATTGTCTTTTCTTGAAATGTAAGCAAGCTTGAAGGGACATACACAAAGCAATAGTCTTGCATAGTGAAAGGCCAGTGGCAAGGAAAGAAAACCCTAAGGGACAGGACATAAACCTTTGGAGTGATTGCTTTCCCCATACGTAACAAATATCTGCATGCACTAAAGTTCCGGCTTCTATGTTAAGGACATTTAAAACAAAACAAAAACAGTCTTCTCATTAACAACATACGGAAAAGGCATCCTGGTTTTAGGAGCTCATTCCTACTCTCCCGATTCTCCCCTTCCTATCTGACTTAACCCTTTCAGAATGGAAGCCCCCATGGCAGGCAAGGCAGCATACAGTTAGATTAGCCCTACTGCTGACCACCAGAAAACCCAGGCAGTGCCAAGCTTTCAGGTTTACGTTTCTGATGAACAACAAAAGAGAAAGACATCCATGCTGTTTAGAAGACACTGGGTCTCATGGTCTTGCTTGAGGAGTCCTGGCAAGAGAGGAAGTGAGGCAAAGCTTACAGGTGACTGTTTCTGAGTCACATTTGTTAAAGAAGAATTCTCTTTCCAAATCCCTTACTTTTGTCAACAATGCCAGTTGCTTAATCATTTAGCATCCTGAGTGTGTGTGTGTATGTGTGTGTGTGTGTGTGTGTGTGTGTGTGTGTGTGTGTGTGTGTGTGTGTGTTTAAAGACTTTCTTCAGATTGCTGGAGGTCTGTGGTCTTATATTTTAGAGAGTGAACCATGACTGCTTTGGATGTTGGCCAGCAAATATGAATACTAACTAGGCTCTGGGGGCAGCCCCATCAGAAATGACTTTTCCAGTTTTGGAGTGCCTACCATTTGTGAAACTCCAGCACACTAACCCCCAGTTCAACTCTGCTGAGACATATTAATAGTTCTTAGCAGACACTATCATTTCCAAACTTACATTCCATCTTGTCCCTTTCACGATTTTAGTGAGTTTTCAAATTGTGGTTCTTCAATTAAACTCTGTCATGCTGCAGAAAATAACGGATGAGCTGAACTAACTGTTGGTGCAAAGCGGTGACATTTAAGTGACTCTAGCCAGCATAAGTTTACACTCTTGGAAAATGATACAATAAGAAATCTCAATTTCATATTAGGAGTAAAAGTGAGCAAGCCTTGCACTTTGGGTGTTGGTCATGGTAACAATACAACAAATAGTTACAATTTCAAATTATAGTCATTTAGACCATGAAAGCATAAAGGTGCCTTCCATTTACACTTGTCATTTTATATGTTGACTATAATGACTGTGAACTGTCACTGGAATAAAACTACAGCTGAAAGGAGGGGTCTCTAATGACCTCTCTCATTGTCTATCTGCTTCTGGGCAATGCCTTCGGTGCAGGGTTCTACCATTTGAATAGTCTGTTTGTAAAGTGAGTAAGAGGATCATGTCCCACACTGCTTCTAAAGTTCTCTTGGTTCTGTATGGGTCAAAACTGGTGCGAGTTTACTGGCATACATTTGACATGTTCTTAGAGAGATCTGCTTCCAAGAAAGACTCTCTGAACATCTTTTCCCAGAATCCAAATTTATTTCCTCAGTTTCAGAAGGATGTAGTAAGTTCCATTAATTTAGGGAAAAGCATCTCCTTTTAGAAGCAGTTTGTGCAGAATGAGAAGACTCGGCAACAGTGTTTCCCAAGGGCACTGGAGGATTCCATGTAAAAGGATGCAGTCAGGCTTGACCATCTCATGCCACGCTCCATTGTCCTCACCCTTCCACATATGTATTCCCCTGCTCCTTTTGCTACCAAGTCAGCTGTTACAACACAGGCAGCATTCAATAAACACTTGTTAAAAGGAAAAAAATGGATATTTGTCACGTTCTGAAGATCAACACTAAGTCATTAAGAACTTGTACAAGGTAACAATTAAAAAGTGAGGTAACAATTAGGAAATAACTTATGGTACATATTCTTGTTTAATGAAATCTAAATCACAATTTTGCCTAGCATGTAATCGGTATAACCTCTGCATGTCTGAAGAACTGTGGCAAGTTTCTGTAACTGGTACTGTTTTCTAGGAGCGTGCTAGAGGAGCTGGTACTGCTGGAACATGTGAGTATATGGACTTCACCACTTGAGGAAATGTTAGATATTTTATACGTGATTGGCATGATATGACGAAGAAAACATAATTACCTCAAAGACTGGTTTTCAAAAAGGCTATATTATTAAATCTACTAAAAAAAAAGAGAGACACAATTGAATTTTAACTTATACTTTAGTAATTGATGGTCAATACATTGCGGGGGGACTTAAAAATGGTCTTTGATTTCTTTTTACTAATGAATATTTTAAAAAAGATAAAGGGGATGAGGCTGATTAGTTCACTTGACTTGCAAATCAATTTGGTCAGGAGTATAGCTGGGAATGAAATTTTTAAAACAATAGGGTCTGGAGCATTGGGCTGTGTCTTTGATATTGCAAGCCTTGGGAGGCATGCACACACAAAGACTCTAATTGGTTAGATATACTACAGAAGCAGCGTGACACCTGCAGGTCACAGCATTGTGCCCTGGTGCAAAGACTTACAGTGTCTCAACCTGGCTGAATCCAACTATATCCCTCCCTTTGAAAACCAGAAACCACTGTGGCACTTGCCTTGCATGTGGGCAGTTTTTCTTAAATAGGAGGTCTGTTAATGGGGGAACAATCCAGAGGAATCATTGTGTTCTCAGTTCTTTACTGGGAAAGGAAGACACAATGAGATAGTTCCTCGTTAATACTATTTTTAACTTTAACCCAATATTTTCTATCAATCGCTTTCAAATTTTTCTTCTATATTTTTTTTTAGATAAAACACAATCTGATTGTAAAGTAGGAACTAAATATCCAGTACTCATTACTAGCTACTGGCTAAAATCTGTCCCATTCTAGGGTATGGTACACCTGTATTCTGTGTTTGTGTGTGTATAACACAGATAAAGTACATAGGATTTTAGTTGTTGTTGTTAAAATAGGTAGCCTGTACCCATTATGATTTGTGAGAGATGTCTATGGACTACTTAGGTATGTGAAAAATTAGAATGGCAGCTCTTTCATGCTTAGAAAGGTAATTATCCTTAGCAGAGTGAGACTTTCTATCCCAACTGAATAGAGAGAGGAAGAAAGCTCTGTTTTTGAAGTGTCCCTTTTGGGAAAAATAAAGCTGCAAAAGAGAAACCCAGCCCAATACAAAAAGGCAGGCTTCAAGCCTTGTAAAATAAGGCTTGACTGAAATATGCGTATCTAAGGACTCAGGAACTGGACTGACGTGACCCCTCAACTCTACCCTAGACAGGGTTGCCCTGGGCCTCCCCGCACTCTGTCCTAAGGATAGCCTGAGAGTGCCTCACCAGTCAGTACTTCAGAGATTGGAACGGCCCAGCAAAGGTGGAACCCAGAACTCTTGCATTTGCTTGAATGAGGGAACAACAGCCTACTGTCATTTCCTCTTTGGGTCCATGCTCTTCAGACTGTGTAGGCAGGGGCCAGGGAAACTGGAGCTCAAACACCGAAAACTGTAAGATAACTCTGGCCATACTACCACAGTCAGAGCAAACACCCATCAGAGTAGCCCCACCAATCAACAAAAGGAACAACCCACCTCCATTACTGCTTTCTAGAGCGTGACAAACCCAAAGTGCTTTTAATGTTGGTAATAATTAGTGTTGATTTGGCCTTGAGTGTCCTGGTGTTGAGACAGACAGGAACCAACTCCATAAGCAAACACACTTTCCCCACATCCAGTTTAAATAGAAACTTCTCACTGCAGGACTCTGGAGCACACTGAAGTTTGAGCAAATAAAATAGTATGTTGTAAGGAACTGACACCCGTATGATATCTAAATACACAGGTCTAGGAGGCATAAAAAACATTAGGGATGCAGTTACTACACTACATAGCAGGGTGCGTCTACATTTTAAATAGACATAAAACATGTGAAATGGTGGAACAATAGAATGTCAAAACTGGGAAATGGATTTGGCATAACCATTGCACTGGGAGAAACCATAGCACTTGTCCGATAGTTACTTAAGCTAACAGGAAGAGAGGTTGTTCAGAGTTCTCCCAGGCACCAAGTAGGCAACTCAGAGGCAGGCAGTGCATGCTTCCTTTCTATGCATTCTCTTTACTTAGTAAGAGAATGTGAGGTGGCTGCCTTTGCAATGCATTCTGGACTACGGTGCTAAGGCAAGACAAAGAAAAATGCTTCAGAAAAGTGAGGCCTAATGAGTATGTAAGTAGAGGCCTGCCTTCAGTCAGCTAGTCACAAGTGGAAACTCATTACATGGTTTTGCTTTTGTAGAGATGGGTTGATCATGGTGTAGAACAGATTGGTTCTGAGGCTGTGCTCTTCTCTCTCTCTCTCTCTCTCTCTCTCTCTCTCTCTCTCTCTCTCTCTCTCTCTCTCTCTCTCTCTTCCCCAGCCTCCTCTGTGTTACTGAGTTAGGTCCTCAGAGTAATGAAGGAAAACAAGTCATTTTTTTCACGCCATTGGAAGAATCCGCTATCTCTATTGTATGAACCTTACAATAGTTAACTTTTTTATAATTAAAAAATTTTGATTTCAAAGCGTTCTGAATTCTGAGACCCCACCCCACACGAGGTACCATGAAGGGGCACTAAAGTGCATTTTGATGGAGGGGGTAGAGTTCAAAGGTGCTGTCTAAGCTAATAAACAAGATGACACTGTTTAAAAAAGAAAGGCAGTTCCGTCGATCTCAGCTGAGGGAGGGCAGTGAACTGGACCCTCACCAGAGGATTGTCCTAACTCTTAACTTTAGAGAAAACTGCGTAAGGACCTGCACATATAGACTCATTTGTCCCAAATAGCAAAAATAGGCCTATCTCATCCTTAAGAAAGTATTTGCAAATCTGCTTAGTCATGATCATAAAAATGTGGGTGGATTCCAGGTGCAATCCTTGTGGGCATGCTCTGTGGTGCTAGCGAACACAACTGCAGCTTCAGTGAACATGCTGTTCATTTTCATCAAAGCGTGACTTCTAAACTACCATAAATAAAATACACAAGAAACGATTCAATCTTTTTCTTACAATAATTACTTTTACATTAAAAAGTCACCATCATCTTCAGATATATCGAAAATTAGGACTCTAAATCTGAATATTTTCTAGTCTTAGTTAACAATCTTGCACAGGCCCGATAATCTAAAACTTGGAGCTATGATCTGCATAGCTTGGCAGGGTTCACACAGTTTGACAGGTAGGCAACTGTGAGATATGCATTTTTTTTTCAATTTAGCATTTTCTATCAAAAAAGTTCAAAATCGTTTAAAATCCCCACAGCGACTGTATTTTATTTGTGCCACACCACAGTTGAGAAGCTAGAAAGGAAGGAAAAAGAAATACTGTCTGGAAGATTAATCACAGTCTAAATATTCTTGGTCTTCAGGTTAAACGACGACGAGCCCAGCAAATGCAATACAGTGGCTTAAATAGAAGATTTGGTCCTGTCATAGAATAACTTAAGCAACTAAACAGGGACCGTCTCCACCACGGGGGCTTTGATGCACTCTTCGTGCAATCGGCTCTTTTCGGCAAGGCTCAAAGAATTTTCTGCAGGATGCTCTGAAATGTGGCTGTCACCATTCAACGTGGAGACAAACCCTTCCTGGGAGGGGCCTTTCAAGTATGAGTGAAATTCCACTTGGGGAAGATTGGACCTGTGTTCAGGATACAAGGTGTTACAGGGCACCCCACTATCATTCTCGGGAGTGGGGCAGCAAACAATGACAGACTGGTTGGCAGCCGGGTAGTGGGAGGCCCCGTAGGCCTCTTCCGCTTGTCTGGCATAGTCAACAAATCGCTCTGGGGTCATGGTGTAAGGCACCAGCGAAAGGGCACCGTTTTTGACAGTATCTCTTTCAGAATAGCTGTCAGAGATGTGGCTAGGAGTCCCCGGGATGTGGCTGTCTATTTGGTAGTACAGAGTTGAAGAGCTAGCGTAAAAGGAAGCGTTTTTTGCGTGGCTTTCGTGAACGGCGGTCCCATCAGAGTAACAAAGGACAGAAGGAAGAGGGACGACTTCAGCGTGGGCTCCGAGCCCTTCTACGAAGCTGTCTCCCTTGTCGTCGTCGTCATCTTCTTCCTCCTCCTCCTCTTCCTCCTCCTCCTCTTCCTCCTCCTCATCCGATTCACTGGGGGCCAGGCTTTGTGTGCTTGAGTCGGTGACTCCGCTGCAGAAACTGCTTCCATCCTCTTCCTCCTCCTCCTCCTCCTCTCCTTGGCAATCCAACTCCTCCTGCAGGTGCAGCACGGCGGCCTGGGGTTCGGTTTCAATCTCAAAATTGTCTGCAATGGAATATTCTACAGAGTGAGCGACGGGGCCCATGGCAGTACTGTGGGCGCTTATCTCACCGTGGCAGCCGTTCAGCGTGGGGATTTGCTGCTCCCGGTTTTTCTCGAGTTCGAGTTTCATTATTGTGTGCAAAAAATGAGTCCGGACACGGATAGGATTAAATTCAATTCTACCTGCTGTGTTACTACAGCCTTCTTTAGTGCAGCCACATGGGAAAGACATACGATCCACCTTGGAAGGAAGAACACAGATTAGCACCGTGGAACTATTACAGACCAAATCAAATCAAATCAAGGGCTTTCTAACAACTCCTCTGAATTAAACAATGCACTCAAGTCCTACTTAGGCCACAGCCAATGACGAATAAGCTGCAAGTGAAAATGAGCAGGAGAAGAAGTGAAGACTTACCAATAAGCTGGTTTTAAATGTATATTTAAAAGAGTGGTGGGCTGTGGATATAAGTGAGAATTTACATTTCCCTGTGCCCTCCCGTGCTTTCTTATTTTCCACTCTCTGCTTTTCCTTCTCTTTTGCATTTGATTTTGTTCCCACTTTGCAACTTGGGGTTCCTTCCTTTGCATTCCAACGCACCCATCCACTTTGAAGTCACACGCAGACTGTTCTCCCAGGCTGCTAGACTAATCTCACTTCCATGACACCACTGCCACGCTACTGTGTTCTTTCCTTTGCATCTTATGAGATGACCTTCACTGCTCCAGGTATCTGGGATGACACTACTTGGGGGCCACACAATGCCAGACTGCTCAAGTCTCACTGCTTTGCCTTCTCAGTGGGCCCTTGTGTTGCAGTATATTTTCACACTGTGTGGAGACGTGTTGCTGTGGTTGGTGTGATAAAAAGCTGAATGGCCAATAGCTAGGAAGAAGAGGATAGGAAGGAGGAGTCTAGGTGGGTGTGATTTGCCAGCAGACTGGGAGCAAGTTGGACGTACTGTACTGAGGAGAGGTAACCCAGCCACATGGCAGAATGTAGATTAAAAAATATGGGTTAATTAAGTTATAAGAGCTTGTTGGAAAAAAGCCTAAGCTAAGGGCAAGCTTTCATAATTAATAATAAGTCTCTGTGTTATTTGGGGTCTAGCGATCCAAAGATAGTCTGACAAGAATGCTTGCTACATTTAATGTTGGGGAATATTTGTTCACACTGTGTGAACATATGTCACTATGACTGGTTTAATAAAGAGCTAAATGGCCAATAGGTAGGCAAGAGAGCATAGGCAGAATTTCCGGGGAGAGAGAGGAATGCTGGGAACAAGAAAAGCGGAGATGTCAGCGAGACAACGCAGAAGTCAGACATATGAGACAGAGGAGAGGTAACCGAGCCACGTGGCAGGATGTAGATCAATAGAACCAGGTTAATTAAGTTATAAGAGCTAGTTGGAAAAAAGTCCAAGCTAAAGCCAAGCTTTCAAAATTAACAATAAGTCTCAGTGATATTATTTGTGAGCCGGCAGCCCAAAGGAAAGGCTGAGTACACCACTGATATGTAGATACTGGTCCCTTGACCTGCTTCCCGATTGACAATAGAAGCCCAACTCAAGTAGACTTACCCTGTGACGATAAATGTAACAGCAGGGAATCCGAAGGCCTGTAAGCTGAAGACCAGCCCAGGCAATTTAGTAAAACCCTTTCCCAAAATAATATATTTTTCAAACATTAGCTCAGTGGGGGTAGAGGACTTGCCTATTGTATGTACAAGGCACTGTACTCAAAACAGAGAGGAAAAGGAGAGAGGGAATGGAAAGGGCGAATGTGTTTGCATCAGCTGAGTGGAAGGGAACTGTCCTTGGCTTTCAGCTGCCTGAGTGACTTTCTCCTTTTAAATGAGTAAAGCTATTCCTGCATAAAGTAAGAACAGATAATCAATTACTGGGCTCTGCTGAATTATAGATGGACAGGGCCAGAGAATCACCTTGTCCAGGAATTGGTAAACTACTGCTTTTCTTTTTAATTGGTTTTCAACTTGAAGCTTTAAAACGTATAATCACCAGGCAAAGCCGGTGAGGCCATTCCCCACTATTAATTCATATGAAGTCAAATTTCAGGCTCTGTGGAATGACACTGACGTTTCACTGTTTATGGAGATATTCCCAAATTGAAAAAGTCCTCTCCTTACCCCTTCCTCATGTTGCTCAAGCCAATCTTCTTGCCCCAATAAGACAGACACCCTTTTCTTGTTAGGAAACCTTAGCAGCCCTGAGTACGTGCTGTGAATTGTAACTTCATGTTATTTTTAATTGAAAAGGGTATGATAACATTTGAGTGTTTGCAGCCATGTCACCCCAGTACTTTGAAGAATGAAATCTATCACAAGCAACAGATAAACGCAGTAGGTGTGCCCCAGTAAACCTTGTTCACAAAAATATGTCTAGTTAGATTCCACTGTGAGTTTGACAACATCTCAACCTGTTCACTGTAGAGATGACATTGAGCACAGTGTTTTCCTGGAATGCCTACTTCAGATAAGGTAAGAATGCAATTTAGTCTTTTAAGATCTGTCTGACTAGGAACTTCTCCAGGAGTCCGTATCACTGGTGATGAATTATTATTTTATACCCCATGGATGAACCAGAAAATATGAACTCAAATGGAATAGACAGTGTCCTCTCCCAGACTGCATGTAAAAAAAAGCTAAAATAAGGTGATGTAATGACATAATCCGGGACGACATGCTTTCAATGAACTCAGCTGCAGTTTGAGTTGCCATTCACAGTATACACAGCATGTACAAGCATTTCATGAATACCCTTGAATTAGGTTTTTTTCCCCTTGAATTATGTGTCTTTCCTTTCCAGCATTTTTCCCCCCAGGTTAAAAAAACTCAATATACACAACGTGACTGCTTCTTTCTGGGGTGGCATGTGACATGTTTTCTTCAGATGCCCTGAGATCTCAGCCCTTACCTGACACTTAATGCCTGCCAGGCTGCAGGTGCATGTTTCTGGATCACAGAACACTCTGCAGTCACAGCCGCAGTCCTCTCGAGACAGGCGGATGGCTCGCAGCTCATGTTTTTCTTCCACGTCGATCTTCTTCACTCCAGAGGCACGCAGCAGGGCTCTCCGTTTTTTGGTGGGCAGGGGTTGTAGGAAGAAGTATTCATCTACTTCTGTGTTGTCTAAATCAATGTCATCATCGGAAATGTCATCCACTGTCAGAGTGCTAGCCTCTTCAGATTCCACGGTGCCGTTCTTTGTCATCTAGAGACACAAGGAAGTAAACAAGGATGTCATTTGGGCAGAGTCCAACATTCCCACTTCAGTATTGCTGAGGATGAGCTGAGCTGTCACGTACAGAGTCTGTGCAACCACAGAAGTCAGAGGAAAGAGAACAGTGATGTCAAAACAATTGGCTTTTCAAATGCTCTGCTCACAAATCACTGTTAAATGCAACTCTTAACCTCCTAACGCCAGTGACTATAGTCACAGCTTGAGTGACCATGGTGTGAACAGACCAGAGGTTACAGACACCGACGCCCGAGAGCTGTCTTTACCCTCAGCTCATGGTGGCATCTCTGATGTCAGAGAAAATGGGCACTGGATCAGAGGTGACCACATCCCAGTGGGAGCCATGACCACCTTATTCAGCAAACATCATGTCCTTGGAATAATATGTCTGTCTTTGAGGCCCCAGCAAAGTGCACATTCAGGACATAGTGTTGCATTGTGCTGCCAGGATCACACACATACACCGGTTATTACCCAGAACGCTCCAAGGAGGAGGGCTTGATAGACGTAACGAGCCAGGTCAGCATGCTCTCGGTCAGACAAGGACATAGATTAGTGCTGGCAAGGACTCATCAACCTGCAACTGAGACAATAAACCGGATTCTCACAGGAGTGTGTGCAAACCTCTGTCCAAAGGCTTGCTTTCTATGTGGCGGCTCTTATGGACACTTGCTGTGAGATGGTCTGTATGTCAAATGTGTTGCTGATTGGTCAATGAATAAATCACTGATTGCCAGTGGCCAGGCAGGAAGTATAGGCGGGACTAACAGAGAAGAGAATTGAGAGAACAGGAAGCTGGGTGAGGGAGACACTGCCAGCCGCCATCAGGACAAGGAAGATGTAAAGTACCAGTAAGCCACAAGCCACGTGGCAAGGTATAGATTAATAGAAATGGATTAATTTAAGCTGTAAGAACAGTTAGCAAGAAGCCTGCCACGGCCATACAGTTTGTAACCAATATAAGTCTCTGTGTTTACTTGATCGGGTTTGAGCGGATTGGGACTGGCGGGTGAGAGAGATTTGCCCTGACTGTGGGCCAGGCAGGAAAAGTCTAGCAACAGACACTTATTCCTTGCCTACTCATGATGGCTGTGCCTATTTATATTTCTCTTCTATATTAATCTCATCCATCAGTAAGCCCTGGATATGCATTTCATTTGTTATTATTATAAAAACACCTATTGTTTTCTTCATACAAAACAGAAGAAATTTTCCCTGAATGTGACCAAGATTTTTTTTCTTTTTTTTTTTTTTTTTTTGTGGAGAGCAGCCCAGTAATAAAGGCAGAAACTTCATAAGAAATAAATCATGGAAGTTCTAAATATGGAAGGAATTTTTAATTATTTAACTTATTGCCTTCCAAATTTCATTAATTATGGCTCTTACCATGCCTGACAATCTTGACAATTCATCCATTAGACTGAAAATACTCTGGAGACATCAGACATTATGCTTTCATCTTTATAGAAGGAGTCAATATTTAGATAGGAATATTTACTACCAGACATCAGCCTTAGATTGTCCAACTCTGAGTGTACTGCAGAGCAACATTAAAATTTTATTTTTGCACTCCTGTAGAGAAATTTCTTCTGGGCCACAGAAGAAGCCCAGGAATAAGTGTACCCTAAGAAACACTGCACAGGAGCCCTGGGAATGTTTTCAAAACCTAATTAGTTATGTATTGTGAGCATTTTAGAACTTGAGGCTGTGATCTCTGAAGGGCCTTATTATTGGACATTGTTTCTTTTTTTTTTTTTTTTTTTTGGTTTTTCGAGACAGGGTTTCTCTGTGTAGCTTTGCGCCTTTCCTGGAACTCGCTTTGGAGACCAGGCTGGCCTCGAACTCACAGAGATCCGCCTGGCTCTGCCTCCCGAGTGCTGGGATTAAAGGCGTGCGCCACCACCGCCCGGCGGACATTGTTTCTTAGTAGGGTCCGTTCCCCCCCCCTTTGGCACTTGTGTGAAAGTGTGCATATGTGGACATGTTTGTGTAGGGGTGCATATATGTGTAGGTCAGGGGTTAATATTGGATTATCTTACTCTACCTCTCTCCATCCTAGTTTTTGAGGGTCTCTCACTAAACCTGGAGTTTCCTGTTTCAGTTACACTGAGTGGACAATACGCCCCCAGGATCTGTCTGCCTCAACTTCCTCTGTCTCTGTTTGCTGTACCTAGCGTTTTACATGAGAGCTGGGGATCTAAACTCAGGTCCTCTTGCTCGTGACACAAGCACTTTCTGGCTCAGCCTTCTCCCAAGCTGGGCATCCTTTATGTATGTACTTTATGTATAAACTGTGATGCCCAATACCGAGGTGTTACCATGGATACAGTTAGCATTTCGATTAATTCTCACTTACTAGCAAGCTGCATGTTTCCTTGTATAAATATCTGATTTTTCAGAGAAATTCAAATGCATAACCATCTAACACACTGAATCTTTGCTGAGTGAAGCTTTATGAGATGCGGAAGGGCCCCTTTCCCTTCCTGTTCCTCAGTGGCACCGAGCTCTCTTTTAGCTAATCCCTGGCATGTCTATGGGAATCTTGACAAGCTTCTGACTCCAGGGTACATGTAGATGCTCATTCCAGTATATTCTTCCCATAACATGTCCATGTTTTATTATACTACATATATTATACTATATTTTACTGTACACTATACTATAATGATACTTTGCATAGTTACAATGTCACAACAAAATCTATAGCTTAAATGACTGTAGCCAGATCTTGAAAAAAGGAGGTTGCTATCATAAAATACATGAAATCTAAAAATCAAGATAAACCAAGGCCAGGTGAGGGAGGCCTGTAATCTCAACACTTTGAAAACTGAAGGAAAAGAGTGCGGGTCTGAAGTTAGTGTGGGCTACATAGTGAAACTTTTCTCACCAAAAGGGAGTAAACCAAAAGGAGACTTTAGCAAGCATTTAACACAATAGCAAGACTGTTAGGGCGTCATAACCAATTGGCACCTAACAATTAAGAAAAATATTTTAATATCAGTATGTCTGTCGGAAGATTCAGTTTACTCTGAATATTAATGTCTTTAAGAATAAAATTCTGGACCTTGTATAATTCATATCCTTCAGTTATAATAAGTAATTTCATTTCAAAATAAAAGTTCGAGTCAAAATTCCTTCTCACATAGCTACACACTGTTTCCACTCTTGTTCAAGAGCTGTAATCTACTTCTTTTCCAAATCACCTACAACATTGAGGTGATCTTTCAATGTTTGCTCCCCAACTCTTCAAGATCATTTCTAATGAAGACTGGGGACAATCTAGCTGAACTTGGACAACTGGCCATGTGGCCCAGTTTCTGGTTTCTACGTTGCTTCTATTAGTTGCTCTCCCCCTCTCATGCCTATGGTGAGGTAGCTCACAGAAAGCACTCGAAGAGAAGAAGGTCTTATTTGGGATTACCATCTGACAGGGCACAGTCCACCATGACAGGGAAGTGAGATAGCTTCTCACTGCTGGGAATACCAGGAAGCAGAGAGCAGGTAGCTTGTTTTACCTCTACTTTTCCTACTAATCCCATGAGATAGTGCCACCTACATTTAGAGTGGTCCTTCCATCCTAAGTTAACCCCTTCTGGAATTAACACTTGTCTCCTGGGTAATTCTAAATCCAGTCAAACTGACAATGGAGATCCACCGACACCATTGCCTTTGAGACATATTCCTATCATGTCCTTTAACTGCAGTCTGTGCCCATTATTTTTTTTTTTGTAAGTCAAGGCTTAAAGCACCCAGTTTAAATGCTTTTTAAGATTTGAGTGCTACAACTTGCTGCTTTCAAACGTACCTCCTCCACTGAGAGCAATACAGGAGTCAGCTGAGAAGCTTGCTTATTTTTCTCTCCAACGCCTATCTATTTTGCTCTCAAGATCTGGTACAAAGAAATCCAGGGGCTTATCCAGGATTGCCTCATCTGCTCTTGCTAACACATTTACTCCATGGCCATCTTCATTGCTAAGAACATTCAGGTTCTACAGGACTTCTCTCCCATGACATGAGCACCACTTTCAAGTGTTTTTCCTCACTCAAAACAGAATCATTGAATTGTCCATCTTATTTTATACATCAGTGAGTCCCAGGTTTCTTGTGACCTCTCCAGCGCAGACTGATATGAGTCACCTCCCATGTCAGTGCTCTTTGCCGATATCTCCTAGACATAAAGGTTCTATTGGTACCTGGTACAATTCTGGGACAAGCTAATATGCTCATTTTTTGACTGGATGATTTTCATTTGGAATGGTTAAATTGAAAGTACTTGTTATTGGATATGCTATTTTAAATATAAAATAACTTTTTAGACACATAGCATACACAAGTACTTTCAAATATACACCCACTTTTAATGTCATTCAAAGTCACATAAAGCCTTCAGAATTGGAGTAAATCTTTGCCAAATATATATATATATATATACATATATATATATATGTATATATATATATGGCATTAAAAATTAACCATTCCAAATTAAAATCACTCAATCAACAAGTAGGCACATTAACTGGTCAGTTCTCAAAAGAAAAAAAATACAAATGGTCAATAATTACATGAAAAAATTCAATTTTCTTAGCAATAGGAAAATGCAAATTCAAACTACATTGATATTCCATTTCAACCTGGGTCAGAACTCATATAATTAAGAAAACAAATGACAGCAAAGTCCAGGAAAGATGTCTGGAAAAAAAAGAACATGTGTGCTCTGCTGGTAGGAATATAAATTAGTGCAGTCACTATGGAAAGAAGTATGAAAGTTCCTCCACAAATATTAAACAGAACTGTCATATAATCCAGAAATTCTACTCCTGGCTATAAACCTAAAGGAACCTAAGTCAATATAGCACAGGGATTGATACTTGGACATTCATGTTTGTTACAGCACTGTTCACCATAGCTAAGTTATGGTACCAGTCAAGATGTCCATCAACAGATGACTAGATAAAATATGGCACATATCC